CCGAGCTGCTCGTCATCGAGCCGCTGTCTGATGTGTCGGGCTCCATGTAGAAACGTGCACGAAAAGCAGCCAAATGCGCGTAGTATGCAGGAGGCACTACAACCAACCAAAAAATAAAGAAATTTGAGTATTATCGAGCAAGAGTATCGAGTTAAAGCCCAACTAAAAATAGAACCAAGCCCTCGAGATCAAGCGTGGTTTGATGTGCATGTGTGTGTGTGAAGGGGGGGACTTCGTAAATGTCGGAAGAAGATGGGTTTTTTTGTAATTAGGCCACATTGCAGGGGGTGTATCTTTTGTAGTTAACTAGCTGATGCCAAAAACTAAGATGAGTACATCAATATACGTACCGATTGAAACAGAGCGGGTGCACCTAGCATATCTGCAAACAAAATAAAATAAAACGGAAGGAGAAAAAACAATAAAATAAAAAATAAAACAGGAGAATGCCCATAACAAAAGGTAGGGTTGTGGGGAGCTAACGTGTAGCAGAGGTTATTGGTAAGACTCTGAAGAGCATCAGCTGAAAATTTGTTTTCATCCCACAGCACATGGTAATGAGCCGGACGGCTAGTCCCCTATAATAATTTAGATAAAAAGACAGAGAAGCTTAGACCATTATTTAATCATATATATAGATATATATATATATAAATCAAAAGTATGAAAAAGTTGCCTGTATCCCCGCATGACTGCACAGGTAGAAATCAAACTCAGTCGGGTGGCAGATTTTTGAATCTACGACAGTTCCTGCATCAAAGGAGGGATAATATTTTCAACCACAAAACCAAGTGTGTGAGTGTTAACAGCTCAAATACTCGTAAAAAAGTAGACATTTGTCTGTATTTTACAAACTGCAACCATCATATGAAATTTTTTGTGAGGGAAAAAAAAAACGGCATCTAAGAGTTTGGTTGTTTTCAACAGTTTTGAGAGGCATTTTCATAATTTTGAAAGAAAGAGGTTTTGTAATTTTCAATTGTACCAGGCAGAATATTCCCGCTTCTATCAACTGCCTGTCTGTCTTTATGGTTGTTAGCAAACAGTCTCGTGTGGTGACGCTTTTGAACCACAACAAAAGTGACAGTAGGCTGATAGTTCGGCTCCAACGAGGCGCATGCCTGAATGGAAGAAAAAAAAAATTGTATACTAGGCTGAAAATAAAAATGCAAAAATTGACATGTATAAAAGGGGAGTGAAATGAATACTGTAAATAGAGTTGACATATTTTCCTTCTAAAAATATTAAAATGTTAAAAACAGAAAGTTACAACTTATTTTATTTACATATTTGATTCGACATAACTGATCAAATTTCCTTCAATTTTTCATATACTACTGATTCTGTAATTTATTGATTGCATATTTTTAAGCTGAAATATTTGTTGGATTACTTTGCTTATATTGTATCGAATAACAAATATAAGGAATTAAAAACATTTTAGAGAATTTAGGTAATTTAGAAAAAACATATATTGGTTTTTGCTTAAAAACCATTTATTTATATTTTATATAAGATTTTTTAACCTATACTCAATTGCTCTATAGTTTACTGTTTGTCTGAATTTACATTTTAACTATACACAAATTATAAAATATAATTACCTTGCGTATAGCATCGAGTTCGTAAAGCAGAACTTGATAGAACTGCCCTTCACTCACACCATCACTGTACACACGGCACCAATCCACAAGATGGAAGAAAATGGCGAAAATTAGAGGAAATTAAAGACTAGGCAAATGGATATAATATATCACATTATATATACACAGAGAGCTATGTTTCAACAAATTACCG